AAGTCCGTTTCTCTCCCGTAACATCCTTTATTATTACATTGCACTTATACCTCAACTTTTTTCCTCCTACAAAGAACCCTGGGTGGCTTACACAGTTCCCCCCTCTCCATTTTTATCCTCACAACAACAACCCTGTGGGGTAGGTCAGGCTAGGGCCTGTAGCTGGCCCAAAGCCACCCAGTGAGCTCCCTGGCTGAGTGGGGACTAGAACCCATATCACTTGAGTCCCAGCCTCACACTTGCACCCTCATGCCACGGGGGCTCCCTATATTGCTCTGTATAACTGAACAACAGGCTGGCCTAGCAAGCGACCCACAGAATTCTTCTGTCAGACCATCATTTGTCAGATTGTCTTGCTCTATTCCTCTGTGGGGTCTGAAGGACGGCAGTCTCTGAACTGGGATCCGGACTGGGATCTGTTGGCCAGAACAGCTGAGGAACTCACTAGCCCCTCCTTTGCCGGCCTGTTTGGCTCTCGTGACTAATGATTCCGACACGAGAGCCAAATGGCTGTGCCGGCTTTCCTCTGAAATGAATTTGCTCATCAGCTGCACATCCTGTTTCACAGGCAGAACTTGCAAGAACCCCCCCACCCCACCCTCTGTACATGTGTACATTCCCAGACAGTGGCAAGCTGATGTGTTTGACTTTCTCACTGTGGAGGGAGTGGTCAAAAATCCCATATTTGTGGCATTCAGATATTTCACCTAGTCACACAAGAAAGCTAGCAAGAGTTATTTGAACTCAGTCAAATATTTGTAACAGGCCTGAACCCCAAAAAGTCAGGTCCTTTAAGCTGCTTGCTTCGCTCGGCATTAAGGTAAAGTTGCTTACAACAGTGCAATAGAGCTTTAGTTAGCATTGCTCTGGCCACGAGTCTGTTCTCATGCAACTAGGGAGTTTTCCTTTCCTGATGTTGGGAGGGCACAAGCACTGCCCCCGAAAGTTCCTTATCAGGCATTAGTTTTGTGAGTGAGAGGCAACGAGTCTGTGCTTTGATGTTCAAGCAGAGAAGAAGCTTCAGCCATCCAGACAGGAATTCTCCTTGCTAGGACACTATACTTCATTATCTCTTAGCACCTGTATATTACTCTTGTGACTGTATATTTTAATTATGTAGGATGTTGCACGCAGGCGTTACAATGCCCCAAGTTTGTAATCTATAAAAGCTAGCCACTGGGCTTTGTTATTTTGAGGGGGAGTCTGCTGCTTTCTCTGAACCCTGTCCTAGCTTGCAGAAGCCCTCACTGTGCGGTGTAAGAGGCTCGCTGCTAAATGTCTTGGAAGTCAAGCTAGCATGCTTGGATATTATTGCAATAAATAATCTCCTTCTTAGTAAACCTGGAGTTGGAGTATCACTCTGGAAATCATTAAAAAAGCTTCTGCGCCCGGCCAGGGCAACTGGAAACCAAGCCCAAGAGATCCCCAGATTCCCACAAAGCTGAAGCAGCTGGAGTGCTTTGCTGGGAACAGGAGAGCTTCACCTGAGAGTTCAGCGCATACTGCTTGCTTTCACGCCTGCAGCTGTCAGCCTGGCACCCTCCCGATAACCAGTGGTATTTCCAAGTGCCGAGTTCCCCTTCCAAAACTGTGCTATGTTACATCTTGGGCCTTGACCATGAGGAGAAATATCTTTCCATGTGAAAAGTTACTCCAGCCTAGGATTGCTACTCATACTTAATTTAATTTACTATCATGATTCCTGGGGTGGGGGAAATGCTTTAAGGCAGCCTTCCCCAACCCTGTGCCTTTCAGACACATTTGGACTGCTACACCCAGAATTCTAGTCAGTGGCCCTGCTGGATGGGGATTCTGGGAGTCGCGGTCCAAATGCCTCTGAAGGCCACCAGGTTTACGGGAACGGTGATCCCCCCAGGGCTGGCTCCAGGTTTGAGTAGGCCTTTGCCCAGCTGGCCTCTTGGGGGCTTCCTCTGCTGTCGCCCAGCTCCGTCGTGGCTTGCTTGCAGCCAGAAAGCAGCAGCAGCTGACGGTAGTGGATGCTGCCCCAACGCTCCAGCAGCACAGGGCAGCTGAGTCTAGCCGCCCTTTAAGTTTCCCACAATGCTGTGTTGCAATGCCCGTTGCGTTGCGGGGACTGGAAAAGGCAGCGAGACGTAACCACCCAGTGCTGCTCGGAGTCCCAAGCTAGAATAAAGAACGAAACAATGCCAGCCACTGCTGCCTTTATTATTGGCTTCTAGCCCCTTCCCTTGGGGAATGTTTGGGTTCTGCTGTGAGTGAGAGGCGGGGGCTTTGATAGTTGACGCGAGCTCTGCTGGAGCACACACGCAATCTACCAGGCTATTTGCATATGAAGAAAGAATCAGGGCATTTGAAAAACAGCCCAGCGAATGTTTTCTTTTTGCCTGGTGAACGGTGGCTGTGGAAAGGGGAAAGGGAAGCTCGTAGGCAAGACATTTGTTCTGGGATTTGAAATCCTCCTGACTGAGATTGTCTGATTGCTGCACAGCCCTCTCGCCAATATGTTTCCAGTCAACAAGGTACAAATCCCCCTAGTTGTGGCCGCTTTAGCTGAACAGCCTGAGCGGATTGTGATGACAGATGTTCCCGAGATACGGGGAGGCAAGGAGACTTTTTGCTTGTGGGGAACAATGCTGCAACATCGCAGGTGCGTGCTTCCCCCCACATGCACACGCAGCACCCTCATGCTTGCGCAGCTGCCAGAACGGGATCGCCATGCCGTGGAGGTACACTGCTTCAAGAGCTGGATCCTCTCCAGGAGGAACCTTGGGAAATCCATCCCTGGGGAGGGAGGAGGTCGAGAATGGAGCACTCACATTAAACTAGGACTTTTTCGGGATTATTTAGGAGATGCCACAGCAGGTTAAACTAGTATAAAACTGTGATTTGTTAGACTTGCCCTTGGAGACTCGAGGGCTCTGGCACAGCTAGCCAGCTAATGGAGTTTGACAGTGCCCCGTGATAAACGAGCTGGTTTTTGTCCCCCACTCACCTATCCCGCCCATTCATGATTTATCCCTGGGTGTTCTGTGTCGCGCGATAATTCCAGTGTTTCCCTCTATGCCAGCCTTCTGCACCCTGAAGCCCTTCAGATGCATTGGACAACAACAGCCATCAACCCCAGCTGGGGGGGGGATGAAAGCAGCGGCAGTCCAGCACAGCTGGAGGATGTTGGATGAGAAAAGCTGCTCTAAGGAGCTGCAAGCCTCTTGCTAAGCACTGACTATGTGAACGAACACAACGGGGTGCCCTGCACGTCACGGCTGGTGGATTTCGGTCAGCTGAGGCATGCTTAACCTTGCATGGAATCAAACTGTTAATCTCTGCACTTGGTGGCCGGCCGCCATATTATGTTAAGCCAGGCTGTGGAGCATCTACATAGAGCAAGGACCAGCAGAGGCCTTGGTTCTGCAAGGGAAAGGCTGCCTCCTCGTCCCTGCTCTGCCCAGGGTGAGCAGCAGCGGTGCTGGCAGAGCCTTTCCTTATGCAATCCAGCTGGCTATCGATCCTTCTGGAAGAGCCAAGGAGTGGAGAAATGGGCATGGCAGCTGGGCGTGGAAGAGCTCTGCCTGAAGCTGCGGAGTACAGAGGCAGGCTGGGAAAGCAGTGGGGGGGGGGCTGGGGGGAGCATCTTGGGGGCAGAGCACTGGTTTCACAAGTGGAATGTCCCCAGGTCAGTCGCTGGTCACAGCAGGTGAAAAGAGCAGGAAGTGGCTGATGGAGATTTGGCCTCTCCTGTCAGCACTAGGCCAGCCTTCAGAAGCCCACCATCCACAGCCAATATTCTGGGTGAGAGTTGTGATCTAACACATCCTGAGGGTGCCATCCTGGGGAAGACTGTGAACTGTAGTTAATAATTGTAGTTTTAATATTGTATTTTAGAATTTTATATTCTGTAAGCCATCCTGAGCGCTTCCGCGGAAGGGCGGGATATAAATGCTTGTGATAAATAAACAAACTGGTCCCATGACCAGGCCAGGCTCCACTGCCCAAAGCAAGTAACTGCTCCACTCCAGAGACACCTTTTGAGGAAATAAAGTGACCTGTGCCTCAGTCCTCTAGTCTTTTGGTGCTGCCAGTGGAACGACTCCCGCTTATCAGCTCAGAAAACGTGTGCCCTTCATTTTTTGTTTTCTTGCATTGTTATGGTAGTTCAAGCACCACCAAAGTATCTATCACACTGCTTTTGTCAACCTACTTCTGCAGAATTGAAAAGACCGGGAGTTGTGGGGACGGGTACAGGGAGCAGAGATTTTCAAAGCTACCAAGGGAAAGCCTTTTAAAATGAAGTAACAAGCAGATTCCCCTTCACAATGTAGACTGTTTTGAAACGCGCTGGAGGAATAGAGGTCAGCACCTAATAAACACATTGTTGAAGTGAGGTTGGACTTGGGGATTTCCTGATTTGCAGATCCTGGTAGCATCTGCACTAGTGTGTGCATGTGTGTGCACAGAGAGAGAGAGAGAGAGAGAGAGAGAGAGAGAGAGAG